TAGAAATATTGCCTCGGCGAAATTGGTTCACTGACTTGTCACGTTCGCATTTTGTATGCAAAAATGAAAAAAGTCAATGTAAATAATAGGCCGTAGGTAGTATCTCTGTCATCCCATTTATCGTAAATTAAAAATAAAATAACAACGTTACAAACTATGACTTTGTGGACATACCGGCAAAACGTCGAATTCTGATATCGTGACGTTAATCCCAAGGAAATCGCGTTCACCCACGTATATATGTACAGCTGTAGTTACTCAAGGTGCTTTTAGCCATCAATGATGACTGCCAGATTCGCGCTTGCGGTAGCGGCACGAGAGTAAAAATCAACTACGCCTGTGACAGAAGACGGAAAAGTTGAGCGAGTAACATGCGAACGAGTGAACGTCCATGACCCGCGTTGCAAAAGAGAACACGAGTCGCCGTCGCCGGCAGCTGCGCCTCCACGGAAACATACTTACCAATACAGACTTGCGCGCGCACAAACATGCGCATGGCGAGAGAATGAGAGGGAACGAGGGAGAAAGAGATAAAAGTTAAGGGAAAGCGGGGGTGACGACGCATCTCTCCTGACTCCCTTGGTGATGCGCCGAAGGGAAAGCGCGCATATCGACGTCGGGCGTCGTCCTCATAGTGTAGCCGACAAAATGGGAGCACGCGACGTCGATAAGGGCAGAGAACGTGTTTGTAATTTTCGAAGTCAGCCGGTCCCGGCCTTACCACGGGCAGCTTGAGGAAAGCTGCATAACGCATGCGCGTCCGTCTTTGACGTATCAATTAGCTTCAAAATGCGGTAGTGGACACTCGCCGCCATGATGATTTTACTGATTTCTTTCAGCGTATTAACGTATACTCTATTGCGATGGCTTTTCTGCATCTTCGATATTTTCATAAGTGGCACGCTTCGCGATTTGTTCAGATATTACGATCAAATTTATCGATTCGAAGCTACGCTATTTAGTTAAATATTTAGCATTTTAGCATTAAAATGGCAGCAATGAAATGTATTCGACACTCGTTAAATGCCGACTTACTTACCAATGGCATTTATATGAATCGATTTTGGCGTTGCTGGAATAAATTCATAATTGATCAAAACCATTTATGTCCTAATGCTTGGAGAGGAATCGACGTATTTGTTGCCACGCTGACACATCATTTGCACATCTTTTCATCGACATGCTCACATTCTTTCTAATTGGCTTGCAAACAATGAGGAAGCGTTTCGCTACTTTGCATCACGATTGCACACTCATTGCCAAATTAACTGTTGTTACGTGTAATTTTACACGACATAAAATACAGACGATTAAATAATTTACAGTGAAATGTAATTAAAATTTTTTCTGCATTTAGTATTACATTTCTCTCTTTAATGGCTTATAAGATTCAACATAAAAATGATGAATTTGATAAGGTTAATATAATGTTTACAGTATACACATTATCATTTGCTAATCTAAAAATATAATTTATTATCTACGAATTTAAATTTTTTTTTTTTTCCATTAACTATTTGAGAATGTCATTATTGGAATTCTTAGAAAATACCTAATTCGAAAAGTTTCTGAAACGCTATTCATTATACATAGTGGAGATTAAATGAATATTATGAAACAATGAAAATTAAAAAATGTATTGTACTGTAAATATGGATACCCATTTATGGGTTGTTGAATTTATATTTATTATAAGTTATATATCTTTTAGCGCAATCCTTACTTTATTTATAACTAAGTAATCGGGCGTATTTGTTTTTGCTCTGCTTTATTAGTTATTTTTAATCGAATGTGACTGCTATTGACTTTTAAGTAAGTTTCTATTTATGGAATAAATTATTAAAAGGGGCATACATTTATACGACCTCAAAATGACTAGTTTTCAAAACATTAATTTATGCTTCTGCAGATAGCCGTCAAAATTGCTTTATCCTTTATTTTATATCTTTTGCTCAGTTCACACTTTAAATAAAATCAAAAGTTTATAATTACTGATTAAAATAATGAATTTTTACTTTGCTCTTATCGCTTTGTCAAACAATCGTAAGTTTTTTAATGAACATAAACATCATAACGCTATGCAGTTAACACCGTTATTTTATTTAAACATTAAAATAAAATGCTCCCCCCCTCCCCACCCAATCCTCAATTCCATCGCTCGCATAAATTATTATATAAAACATTCGTTCGTGGCAGGATGGCGTTACTTATTTATGCATAAATACAAATGTTAAAAAGTCAAGCATAGTTAATCGATAATTAGAGGAGAGAAAGTTTTAAAGCTCACCATTATGATCAAACTATTATGATCAAATTATTAACAAACTGTCATTACTAATCAATCATCTCTTTCTAATTAATTCTCAAATTTTGTTTTTTTTTCTTCAAATTTTCGTACGAAGCTCGTTCGCATTTTAATGATATGCACTCCCGATAGTCGTAAGGTGTCAAAGATCGAAGAAAGTTTTCTGCACAAGTCGTTCTAAACGGTTTCGAGCTTTTCTGAGATCAGGTGCTCAGACCCAATGGCATTACCTGCCGTATTCTGCGAGCGTTGAGTCGTCATGATTCTTGTGTCTCGAGCTCAAACTCCCCGTCTAGGATTCGCCACGTTGACCTCGAACTCCCAAGGTCATTCCTTGAAGAAATCCCGTGAGTGAGTGTGCGCTTATGATTTAAAATCGGCTCCCCGCTGCGAGGGGAACTCCGCCGGCCTCGTGTGGGCCAACGACCGAGTACTACTATTTCATCGCCGTCTTTCCAGAAATTTCGAATTCTAATTTACCGCGAAAAATCGGAATAATTATCTCAATTAGTCCGTGTCAGACTATTGTCGCGTGTATTTTCTGACTGTATTTGTGTAGTAAAAATTTATATAGAGTCTATATTATTTTTTCTAATTTTCTTATAAAAACTTTTTTAACACACGGGCAATTAAAATACTCTATGGAATTTTCAAGTCTGTTGTATTAGTTTTTGTATAAAATTCTGACTAATTAAATTGCAACTTTATAATGGTTAAACTTAGAGATTTAATTATAAAATGGTCATTTTTCTTGTTCATAACAGAAGGCTCGTCATTTGAACATAGTATATGTAAAAAGTATTTATTTATTTTTTTTTAATAGAATAATAGTTTTAATCAATATTTTAATATAAAATTTTCAATCTTCCGTGAAATTTCATAAAATTATTTTAAATACCTTATATCGATAATTTATATATTTTACTAGATACTATGTTTCTAGTGTACTTTATGTATCGTGTAAGAACTTTATTATAATGCATATAATAAATTTATAGATTTAATAAAATAAGAGGAACAGAAATTTAATATGTAGTTTTTAAACTACGTTCAATGAAACGTGATTATATGCTGACAGTTTATCAACATTATTGCATTTACCGGAATGCGGTGAGACTAATGATTTTGATTTTAAGAATTTGTATGTTACACGACGGTTTTAAGTATTATCGTTTTATAATATTATTTAATAAAATTAAATAAATGTTTCTTTCGTTATAACATAATGCATTCCATACATGAGATAACAAGAACAATTAAAACATTACTTATTTACGCAAAGGTTTCAATAAATTTTTCATGAAATTTTAAAAAAAGTCTTAAAGATTTATAAATTTAAAAAATTAATATATACATCTTGTCTAACAAATTAAAAAATAAAGTAAAAAATGAATAGCAATTAAACTGTATGTTTACTTTTCAATAATAAATTTCATGAAAGAAAGGAAATATTTCTTATACATAAATAATATTCCGTTCATCTTATTATAAAAAAAAATAATAACAAGAAAATTATTACAATCGTTTTATTTAAGATTAATAAGAATTAGTTAAATCTTAAATATTTCTCTCTATCAATATTACTGTAGTTGATTTTTTTTTATTTTTTTTTTTTTTTATATTATTTAGCTCATTTAAACGGAAATAACAAGCGCACAATTAAAATAGTAAATGTTTTACATTATTATGTTTAAGAAGTTGTCGGCAGTCAACACTTAATTTTCAGTTAATTATATATCAGAGAAAGATGTTCACGCAATGCCCTCTCTAACTATTTGTAAATAGTACATATTTTGTTATTCGAAAATACGATAATAATCATAAGAATTAAAAATAAAAAATATTGTTTTAAATGTAATATTCGTGGTACAATTGTACATTCTTTTATTCAATAATGTCTTCATTAAATTTTATACTTTAAGAGAAATAACGAAACAAACATTTACGAGACACTGATAAGCGCAAAAAACTTATAATACACAATATCCTTTTACTCTGGCTTTATTCAATTTATTAATTCGTTAATCTATATTTCATATTGAAAAATTGAATAAAAATGGCCTTCCTAAGGTTTTACAAAATTTGACATAACAAAGTTAATCGCTAATTAGATAAGAAATTAGAGATAAATAAATTTCCCATTGATGTATAAAATTTTCAGCGCTATAATATCGAGTAAATGTTTGCTCTTTTGTGCATAGAATTTTTTTTGTCCGATTAATATGAATTTCTTCAATGTAAATAATTAATATTAAAAATACATGGTGGATTACGCTCTGTTCGCTAAATTAATTTCATTCTGCGACTTTTAATTAGAAAGGAGAGTACGGTACCAGAGCAGAGCATGAATAAATTGTCATTTACATATGTAGTACGCTATTTTTTACCTTTTCCATGTATTATGCGCATATATGTATGCGGATTAGAATGGGAAGAGAATTAAGTAATAAAGACAATGTAGAGAAAACGCACGAGAGACAAAGGAGCGTCTAAAAATGACACACACCCGAGGACAATAATCTCGTGCGAATTAATGGGGAAGCGACCACACGTACTTGACCAACACTTTTCAACTAACCTATGCGCTTGCGACTTGTCTTGTTTTCATCGCAACTCCCACCTATGCGCAATAATCTTTGCAAGCGTCTATTGACCTCGTGGACTTAAACGACCCCTTTTACCCATTGTTTTTCAGATCGCTCCCTCGGCAAAAAAATTATGGGGCGTCGACGAGGGCGGCTCCAAGGACGAAGGAGGTGTAAAGGGCGGTGGGATACTTCACCTCGGTGACCAGATGTGGCGAGACTCGACCTGGAGCACCTCTGGTACGTATTATTCTTTTACTCTCTATTTAACACGCCGCCTATTGTCCTTGTCCGACTTTAGTGCAGTGTGCCTCTGCGGTTTATAGTGCAGTCCGTTTTCGATACTTGCGCGCCTTCGCTTACGCAGTCGATTACAGCCTCAAGTTCTTAATGCTACAATGTTTCTTGAAAAGTAAATTGTCCGATTAATAATATTGCCTTTTGAAGAGTATGATATTGCACATCGTATTCTGTAAACAATAATCAACATAACAAAAATACTTTATTTTTTACAATTTAAACGTCGAGCAAGACGTAATATTTTTTAATGTATAAGAAGTTTACTTTTTTCATCAAATTTTTTAGAAAACTTGTCATAAAATATCATACAAATTATTTTATCTAACCGCAAAACTCCAAGTTTCCTACAACTTACGAGTTTCGTATTGATTAAAAAAAAAACAAACTACGTCATAATATATGTGATTAGTTTTTATTTTATTCTGGAAATTAAAATGTTCTTTATCTTTTGTTATATAATTTTTTTTTTGTTTTTTTTTTTTTGTTTTTTTTTGCAAATAAAACTTATTTTGCACGCAAAAGATTTTCTTAGAACAATAAATATTATTGTTAATGTTTATAAGTATAATATCTTTATTGTTTAAAATGAATTTTAAACGAGCAAGATGTATATAAATAATGAGCAGGCGGCAAATCATAAAAACATCGTGGAACATAATGCTGCTTAAATTTAATGAACATACAAGGCGAATATTTAAACAGTTTTATTAGAAGATTTTGCTTTATATAAATTGCTGTTGTAAAAACAAATATACAACTTTTTTGAAAAAATTAATTTGCCATATGTTTAAAATATTCTTATTATGCAGAAGTTCATTTATAAAAGAGTGCTAAAATGTCGAAAGCCCAAGTGATTTTTAATCGTAATGTTAGTTGTATAAAAATTTATTTTCTGCAAGCGAATGAGAATAATAATCGAATAAAGATTGGCCTAATTAATATTTACAAATATTCTAAAGCTTACAATTTTTCCTATTTAAGTGTAGTGTAGTATACTCTTAGGGATGAGTATATACCGTACTTATTTAGTTCCTATATAATAAACAAACTAAATTTTTATTATATATGTATATATATATATATATATATATATGTCTAGCCCAATCGCTCAGAAAAATATTGCCATTCGTAGTATTCTCGTGAAATGAGAATCATTGGTTCATTACCTACTTGAAGCCTCAACGTTTCTGCCGTCACTATAAATTGAGTGCGCGGCTGGTAATGTCTCGGACAGTTTATCGCCCCCCGCATTGTCAATTGATAAATCTCTCATCAACTGGTAACCTCAACTCGCTGTCTTTCCGATGAATTTCATCACTACAATTCCTAAATCACGGTTTTCACTGTAAAATGAATTGCCTAAATGAGCTTGAGTATGTTATTCAGTACTTTTTCTTTATCAATTCTTCATTAAGTAATAACAAATTCATCGATTGCCTATTTTATATCGTAATGTATAGTTAAATAAAGGAAGTACTTATATATATATATGTTCCAAAAGTATTGTCCATATTTTTAATATAGATTTATTTTGTATTATATCGAGATAATTTCTAGAACCGTATCACAATTGAAAAAGTATAACGTATGAGTAGACTAGTAAGTATAGTATGTCAGTTAATGTTAGTAAATTGAATAATACTCATCTTATAATCTTATATATTGGTAACTTAGTCGATTGTCGAAGCATACTTGTAATTAAAAATTCCTAATAAACTTAATCTATAAGGAATGTAGGATTTATTGAAATTTTACGTACATACGGTATTAAGTATTTATATCAAAATCGATAAAGTATTCACTGTATTTGGAATTTTCAATTGAATATACTTAAAAAATAAAAAAAAATTGCTCATTAGATTGAATTTTGATTTTAGAATCTGAAACCTTTCAAATCTAGTTTGCAAACATTATGTTCAATAATCCAACGATCCATAGGGGAATCTTAATTCGCGGAAAGATAATCAAAAAGCCAGTGGTTTTTCCTTCTCCGTGTATAATCAAAATGCACATTATTTTCGCGCGCGCGCGCACACACACGTCTACAGGAATATTCTCGACCAGCGATACGGTGCCCTTATCTACGATTCTACGGATCAATCGAGCCAATCCTTTAACTTTCATCGGATCTCCCTTCTATTTGCCAATCTCACCTAGCGGGAAAGGCGTATCGATAAAGTCGAAGTCGCGAGGAAAACCTTTAAGAACTGAAAAATCTTTCGAAAAAGCCTTAGGCTAATCTTCACGGTCTAAAGATGCTTATGCCTGCGCTCCTACGTCTTACTTTCTTGCCTTGTCGTCCTTTTCCCCTTGGCGCTGGCTCATCGTTACCGTAACAGCGGCGAAGATATCGAGAGCGAAAAGGACGACCTCCTGTGGATGAGCAGGATATCCCCTGGTTTGCTGCGGTTCTGGTCGACGATGTAGACTAGGATGATGGGAGTCGACGAGGCCTTACGGCATTAGTACCTTATGCATAAACTCTTTGTGTGTTTGTTAGAGGAGAGGGAGTAATAATGAGAGAGAGAGAGAGAGAGAGAGAGAGAGTGAGAGAAAGAAAGAAAAGACAGAAAACAGAGTACCTGCATGATCGCGTCTTTCCGTGTGTGTGCTCATGTGTACTTGTTTGCGCGCGTGTGCTTACTAAAGGGAATACGTGATTGCCCAGTTGTGCGTACTTGCATGTGTACGATAGATCTGTGTGTCGGTTATATGGCGATGGCTGCATCGCGGCTGTTGCCATGGCGACAGACGCTTGGCGGCGGTGGGGGTGGGGGCAACGTCCCACCGTCGCCCAGGCGCGTACCTACGCTGCTCGTCAACCCCGGAGCAAGTGATCGGTCGCGGGAGGAGTTGTGAAGGGGGGGCGGAAAGAGAAAGAGAGAAATTCGTCCCGGCATATCCGTCGCCACCCCGTCGCCGACGCCCGGCACCCACACCTACGCTCTAGCCTTTTTCACTCCTTCTGATCTCTCTGTCCGCTTCACTCATCTACTGCTCTCTCTTATTCTAATTATTGTTTTAGCTTTTCCGTTTCTCTCAATGATTGTCTGTTTAGTCCTTCTGCCTGGGACTTCGAACCGATACTTCTGCATTTGCAGCTGCTACTCCTCTTTTACCATTGTCGTTGCACTCTCTCTTTCTCTCTCTCTCTCTCTCTCTCTCTCTCTCGCGCGCGCGCGCTACTTGTCTCTCCCTTTCGCTAAAACTCATAAATCTCGTAGAGCTTATTTTGCTACACACTTGAACGAAAAGGTAAACATATTACCTATATTACGTTTAAAGCCTATACTCGTGTTAGTTAACAAATTTTTTTTTTTTTTTTTTTTTTTTTTTATAAACTATAAATCTTCAAAATTTTTCCTTAACGTTTCGTCATGCAAAATTAAATATTAGAATCGTTATATACATTCCAAGTAGGGTAACATTTTGTTTAAAGTATTAACGAGTATGATCACAAATAAAATATAATATATAGTTATGTATTAATTTCGAAATGAAAATGTTGTTATTATTACTTGTAAGCTATTAGGAAAAGATTAGTGTTAAATTTATAATAACGTATTTGATTATAAAATACGAAATTTAGAGAGACTAAAAATTAGTATTTGCTAGTACCATATTTATTCGTATGGACCATTTTACTAAGAACGGAAGTTCATTGTAGTGTAAATTCAATTTAATTAAACATTACAGGTTGATTATTAGTTAATGTAGAGGTAGGGGAAAATTCAATATCAGAGTTTCAATTATTACACTATTGACTGTAGTTTTTATTCTTTATGACTTTAATTCTATTATATAATAAAATATTTTTATACCTTAAATAGCATTTATAATCTATTGTTTGAATGTAAAATTATAATTATGAATTTATTAGAATTCATATTGACGGTACAAATAATTGATTTTACCTATTGTACAGATGGACAGCATTATTCTTACGTTGTTATTAGCATTATTATTCATTAGACAGCATTATTATTCGTTGTTTTTAATTGTTGAATGAACATGACACAATCATCAGTGAACTTGTGTCTAAGAAACATATAAATGATGATAAAAGTAATATAGAATGTATTTCACTCAAATTCGATGTTTACTTAATAGCGGAATAACTGTATATTACAATATTATTTAAAAAGTCATAGAAGAAATAAAAGTGCTAATTATGTAAGAAAATATTGTTTACGTAATAGTGAAAATATAACAACATTTCAAAACTAGAACAAAATATTAGTTTAATATCGTTAGACTCAATTTCGTCTGCATTTGACTAATGCCAATGAACGAATTAATTAATTTATTCGCTCTTACCTATTCATAGACAATGAATATACGCTTATAACTATTTATGCAAATTTGTGACATAATTTCTGCATTCTTTCATTATTTCTTTATTATACTTCATACGCCTGATACCCTAAGTATTTTAAATAAATGAATCATGAAGTATCAAGGTACAAGTATTTCGTCACATTGAAGTTTACATTACTTAATAGTTAATGAATATGCTCAAATATAAAAAATCTTTTTTTCTTTAATTTTTAGTTAGGCATGCATATTCAGATGTATATATTTATACAATTATAATTGGTCGACGGTCAAAGGTATTTTGATTTACTAAGCTTACATTTCGTCGCGATTTATCCGTTTAGTAGGCACTTTTGAATTGCTTAGTTATTCATTAAACAGAAATTTATGTTAATTATGTTCGTTTTACATTTTATGGTTAAATCCGTATTTATAATTAAATAGTAAATAGCATTAAAAAGAAACTCGTATTAAAAATATTTTAGAAATCAAAAATTACTATAGTACCGTTAGGACAATTGCCACTGTAGCAAAGCTTTGAAATATGTTTATTGAAATATGTTCTTTAGAAAAGAGACAATAAATTACTATAAATATTTAGGTATTATTAGGTAATCAAATAGACTTGTTAATATTAGATTATAAAAAAAAAAGTAGGGTAATTATTAGCTGACGATTCAACTATCGACTATTTTCAAAGTGGGAGAATCGATATGAAATTCATAATTATTATTCGAAATACAATTAATTACAATTGTAATGTGTTTCTGTGAATCTTCAGGTAATAATACAAACACGAGAAAATTGATGAAAACTTTGAAAAGTTTTGAAATGAACGAGTTGATTTTGATTAAAAAATACATAATTTGATAAAATGTTATTTTAATATGAAAAATTATTTGAAATTATTTTTTTATGTAATGACCAAGCGTGATTATTCGAGGTACTATGGTTAATAAATTAAAAATTCGAATGAGCAGGTCGAGTAGAACTTTTATATATTATGGCTGATATGAAAATTTTTTTTCAAAATCATAATTCGTGAAACTCTTTCATAGCACAATTTTATATTTGCAATAAGATTTGTTCAAATTTTCTTTTATACTTCGTTATATTTAATATTGAATTTTTCAAGTTATTAGGTGAAATTCTAAAAAATTTTATATAAAATTATAATTTATAGTATTTAATTAAATAGTATTTAGTTAAGTCCAATATGTAAATGGATTGAAGTATTAATTGATATGTATTTTTTAATCTCTATCGTATAAGTTTTTATAGTTTTTTGTAAATATTATTTACATGCTGTGAGATGGTATCAAAATTTTATTTACTTATGAAGAATTTACATTACAAAGAAGTTATAGTAAAGTCCATTTAAAAGTTGTGAAGGCCTTGAATGTTTTCTATATTTATATATTTTCGTAAGAATAGGCAAGAAATACCCAATTTAAAAAATCTTGATTTTTCAGTATCTAAGTAAAAATTATAATTAATAATAATTAATTTATTTAGTATAGATAAATATTTAAAAAAAAAAAAAATGATGTTCCGACTATGGCTATCCAAGTAATGCAATAAATTCATTAATTCCATTAATGTGAGTTATGTAACTGACTACGTTTTGACTCGTTATTTGTTAATAGACAAAAATATATAAATATATAACCGCTTTTAATAGATTCGTTATTAAAAAAATATAATTCAACGTATTGAGGTAAATTTTTATTTTTATTTTATTATTAGAAAAGTGTTTTTTATTTGAAATATTCAAATTTACTTTATTGACCTATGAAAGTGAATCTGAAATAGTATGCAAATTAATTGTAATTGAATAAATAGTTTTTTTTTTTTTAAGAAGCTAATATAAATATTTACGTGTATATCTAGTAATGAAAAAATAACGGAACACAATTGTTTCTAATTGCAGTATTGCAACTTTATAAAATAATTGTATCGATTCATTAGTAGTTTTAATAAATTTTCTCCATATTAGCTTTTTTCTTTGACAATTATATTTGAAGAAAATTTGGTAAAGGAATATTTTTACACGTAGTTTGATATAAATTTGAGGAAAGTAAATTTTTAAATCGCTTTTCCAATGTCATTTGATATTCCGCATACGAAAGTGGGAATTAAATAATTGAAATTTAACCGAACGATTTACGTTAATTTAATATAACAGGCAATTCATCAAGAACTCGGCTTTTACTCGCTTTCGGTTTACACTCTCCTCGTTCTTTCTCTTGCAAAACTGCGGCTTCCTCGCTTACGTCGTAATTTTCAGTTCAGCAGTATACGGTCTGACGTCCGATAACAACTATAGACTGCACCTGTCACCTGTTGTAGAGAGATATTATGCATAGAAATCTATAAACTCGATGTTCAACTCTATTTTGTCGTTGTCAGTCTTCTTTTCTCTATGTTTCAATCGCAAATATAAGATACAAATAGAAATTTATAATTGCATCGATCTCTGCAAATATCTCGGTTTTTTCCATGAGTCTGACTTTTTTTTTAATTCTTAATGAACGATATATGTCCGCATTTATTCGAAGAAAACATTCAACGTATAATGGTGTACGTTTCTTTGTTCCGGTTTTAAATTGTCGATTTTTCTTCAGGATTATAACTGTATCGCTATGAAAATAATATTTTAACTATTTTAACAGATTACTATGCGCCTTTAGCCGTGTAAAGTGAAATCGGTCGTCGATTAATATTATTTAATGCTTTACTTTAAATAAAATAAATGTTTTCAGTATGTTTATATGAAAAGTCACTGTATAGTAATGCTTATATAATGTATTAAAGAGCCTTGTAGGATTTTTCGAAGGATTTTTATATAAGTACGTAGCATTAGATATTACCCATTAAATTATGTATAAATTTAAATTTAAATAATTATTAAATGATTATATTCTACATTCTGGCCTATGAGAGAACGGAATGTAATAGCTTGCTAATTTTTAATTATCAAAGTGAAAAAGTGAAAGTTGCTCTTCTAATTTCATCGAAGAATTGTGAGATATATTAATTATATTAATATCATTCATATTATTGCAGATCATGCAGTTTCACAACCAATATCAATGGGGACTGGAAGGCGGGTCGGTGTCGGTAGTGGATTTCATCATCAAACATCAGAAGTTGGAGCCGTCCTCAGTCCCAGAAGCAGGTTGGTTTTACATATTTTACTATCTTTTTTCAGTGTGAGAAGCCCTGAAAAATTCTTTGTTTTTTTTTTTTTTTTTTTTTTTTTTTTTTTTTTTTTTTTTTTTTTTTTATTATGATTATGCAAATAAATAAACATCGTATGATATTAAATTAATTTCTGTCACTTTCATGTTTCTCTGTAAAAATTGACGTGCAATATTTAATTTGCATGTGTAAACTGAATCATCAGATGTTTCTAATAATTTATAATAATGTAATTATGAATACCAAGACTAAATTTTCATCATCCACATATAATTCTTTTGGCGTTTAACAAATACTTTTTATCTTTTCAACGATCATAAAATATTTTTTTCTTATATACATACGCTCGCACAACAATAACACATTATGATAAACAATTGTATGTGATGCAAAAAGTAAACTTACACTTGAAAATCTAAATAAAAAAATTTCTATATATGGGATAAAGTATTTCATTTTAAAAGAATTTATAGCAAATAGAATTTGATAATGAAAAATTATATATTCAATCAAATGAAAACATTTTTTTTTTAATTTATTTTTTTATATAAAGAGATAAATAAGTCTTATCCAATATTAGCAAATTTTATAAAGGTTTTTATCTCATATAGAATATTTATAGGCTTTTTATTATTGTTGTTTAAACTGTTGATGATAGTTTAAAATTCAAAGTAATGTTCGTTTATTCATGTATTTGTAATTACAATTTTTATTGTTTCATTTATGATAAAATTAAATGTTTCCGTATAAAAATGTATTTAAATTTAATAGTTATAAATGAAATTATCAGTATTAATCCCAATTAAATCAATAAATAAATAAAGGTATATATATAAATACGTGCATATTTTAAAATGCTCTTTATCTAAAATTTATATATCGATTCTACTTATTTTATTTAAAAATAAAAACTTTTAATACTCGGAATGGTATTCAGAGAAAAATTGCATTAAAAATTAAAAAGAAAAACAAGTTTTACAAGTTGGAAAATCACTATATATTTTAAGATTTAATAAGTTCGTTACGAACAGCACCAGTAATTCTATAAAAAGAAAAGAAAATTATTTTTAATCCCAGTTTATCGTTATGTCTCTGTTGTATAAATTTTGTTTTAATTTTTTTGTATCCGCAAGACAAAGCAGTGAAACATTTTAAATTATTCGTTTATTATTTGTTCGTCTTTCATATACAACATCGTACCATAACAATATTTATTAAAAAAAAATTTAATTAATTTCTATGGATTAATTAGTCGCATGTAATATATGTTTTTTAATTAAGTCAAATTATATCATTACAACAAAATTATTAGTTATAGTATTAATTTTAGAAATGTATGTTTTAGGGAGATTTTTTAGTTTTAAAATTGTACTGTTAGTAAAATTGGTTAATTAATATTCAAGAAATTGTAATTTTTATATTTATTGTAATTGCAATTTAAATAACATTATCGTACTATTTTTGGAAATTTTCTTTCGAAATTATTATAAATGTCTAATTAATAAACTATTTATGAGCTACTAAAATGTTATGGATATGTATAGGTAATTTACTAAAGATTCAAAGAAATTGAATATGCATTTATAAAGACATTATCGCAATACTTAAAAAATACTTCATTAACTGTATAATATATAAATTTTAAATCAAAATGTACATCGTTGTAGAAGATAATAGAACTGACCAATAGCTATTGAATATTCTGAATTTTTAATTGTCTATTCATTGAGTTTGTCTAGATCAACGATTTATTCATAGTTTCTTTATCACTGTTAATTATTTGCATAAAATTTGTATAACTTACTTTTTTTTTCTTTTTTTATGAAATTTCTTTTACACAGTATTAGAATCATCAATGTAATTGAAAATTGTATATACAACAATTATAATTTAGTTGATGGTAATTTTTTAAAACTCAAAATATTGAATATTTGGGAGAGTAAATTTTTAAACTGAATCTTATAAAACTTTTTAAAAATCTTTTAAAACCCGATGTCTGAAAAATATAAAAGAACTTTACATTTATGTATATCAGAAATGTTTTGCACTCTATTTAAAATTGTTAAATATAATGAAGTATCATTTTATGTACCGAAAATAAGTGTAGATATTATTGTTTTCTGAATATTTTTGATCAATGTTTATTAATGTATGATGAATATCCCCAGTGAAACCGGAGGACTCGGAGTTAAAATGGTTGAATATGTTCTGGGGTCGAGTCCTACGACGCCTAAGGAGTTGGAGCCGCGAATGGTGTCTCTTAGATTGGTAAGTTAATACAATTTCACAATGATACTCTCTCTCAGTGTAACTAAATAATAAGCTAACACGCGACTCCTAGAAATCCAGTTAATATATTGTCATTGTTTTTTGCAGAATGACACAGACAAGAAGGATAAGGATAAAGGGACAGCAAGCCCCTTCGATAGCTCAAAGGACGACACTGGTCCCCAAGGAAATGGATTGTCATCTCAAAATGGTCTCGACGATGACAAAGGATTCAAGTGAGTATATTAACGCCCGAATAAAATGTCAAGCGCGAGCCAAACGAAGAGTTATAAACTACGATAGATAGATCTATCAAGGACATACATTATTTCAAAATTATTATTCCTGTTGGCTATGGGTTTCTAAAACCTTCAGCGTTACTTGAGTCATCGATGACATAAATACATTATTTCAAATTTGAATAATCGTAGCTGGCGAATTTCATAAAACTCGATCGTCCCTCTCACTTCTCATCGTACGCTAACATGCTCATACATAAATTTTTATGTACCAACGAATCGAAACCATAGCTTATGTTTTCTTTATTTTAAAAAACGCATTACCCAGCGATCCTTTAATTCTAGATTGTTTATGCGATATTTAGCAGAACATCAGCTTTCCAGACTGAATTATTAATGGGCGCGCGCGTACGTGCGAGGATATTTCATTCACGGAATCCATTATTATATTTTCAATGATATTCGTTCCGACAGATAATTACAATGTAATATCATATAAGTATTATTGCCATTAAAAAGTAAAAGTAAACACAAAAAAATTAATAAAATATACAAATATAAAACCAAAGTGTAAACAAAATTTTGTCCTTGAAAAAGACGAGCATCTCTTTTGGGACGAAACAATCTTTTCCATAAAGTTTTGCTGTGTGTTTGTGTGTGTGCGTGTGTGCGAGCGTGCTTGCGCGCGTGTGCACGAGTGTGCAAGAGTGACGCTACTCGTGCTTCTCGAAGAACATATCGGTCAGAAAAATTATTACATTACGACCGAGGGCAACGAGGAATCGAGGAAGGGCCGCCCCGCCGAGGATATTTTCTCCAAGGGAAAATAAGGTTTTGTCAGTTTGTGCTCGGTACGGGGAAAGGCCCAATGACGCCCGGCTCCTTGATATTCGACTCTCGCGCGAGCGGTCGGTCGGTCGGTCGGTCGGTCGGTCGGTCGGTCGGTTGTTTGGTTGGTTGGTTGGTTGGTCGATCGGTCGGTCGAAGACGCCAAGAGAGCGCGATGCGAAAGAGATTTACAAACAAGAGCGAGAGAGTTTGGGCCGAGCTACCGCCGAGGTACGCTGCGTAAAAACAAGACGGTGGCTGTCAAGGGCGCGCGTGTACACACACGCACGACACGCGGCCAATGACAGGGCAGAGAAGCCGACACGGGAGAGTGGATTATTTCGCACGACGAGCGAGCGGCCGCTACTCTGTCCTCTGTCTGCTGTTCATTGCTTCTTTATCAAGGAGTTGGTTGGTGGCCTGGTGGCCACCTCGGCACGGGCTTAGAGTCGACATCTGTCGTCGGATGCCGGCAGTGATGAGATCTGCCGTACCTGCCGTCGGCTAAACGGGGTTGAGCG